TTGTATATATGCTCTGCCTTAATATTTAAGAATGCTGTATCATCTCCTTCACAATCTGAAACACGTTTAGGAGAAATACTATCTTTTTTTACTGTTTCATGTTTCTTGCCAAGTTTTCCATTTATCTGGATACACAGAACTTCAAAGTGGAACTTCCCCAAACAGATTCTGTTCTTGGAAGGTTATTTCAGATGCAGGTTAATAAGCTATTAGTATAATTGATTAAAGCTACACTACCTAGGCTTTATTTACTTCAGCTTCAGGGGCATTTCTACAAAATTCTCTAAAACTGGTCTGTGTAAGAGGATCCCACTTCAGCTAGCACTAGATACTATCTCCATCCAGGTTCCCATTCTTCCAGAATACCAGTAATATTGCTGTTAATATATCCTCATTTTCTATAGCCTAGTTTATTAAATTAGTTAGTTAAAGTCAGAGGTATGCATTGTTTTCTTCTACGTAGCCCAGTGGTCACCAAGCTTCCTTCAAGATCTTTAACAGGATGCTGCTCCTTTGCAGAGTATCCATGAAAAACATCTCTACAGCTCGCCTTCCTCTTTCTTCTCACTCCTTTTCCTTGTGAGGATACCTCCTGACCACTGCAAGATGTCTCTTTTTCCAGCTATTTCCAAAATGAGCTTAACCTCTTCTCTTTCTTGCAGACTACACTCTTCCTCCCTAGGAAGAACTGCTGCCATAGTTGCTTTCCCCTTCCTGCAAACCCTGTCCTCTAACATTGCACTCCCTCCTTACAAGCATGTCCCCACAGTAGGAAAATATTCCCACCACAGCCTGCCACACAGGTGGCAATTTCCTCCTTTCATTTAGATTCAAAAGCAAAACACAGCTATCTTCTTCTCTTATCCTTCTTATATTCTTCTTACATTCTTCTTACAATATTCTTCTTACAATATTCTTCTTATATTCTTATTATTCTTATCATATTATTCTATGTTAGAAGAAACAGTTTGATAATTTGCAAAATAAGAGCAGGGGTCAGAATATAACCTAAATGACAATTAAGACTCTTTATGTCTTCTCCAAAATGGAGAGAGTATTCCAGGACATCCAGGCAAGTTGTTTAGTCTGAAAAGAAGGCTCAGGGGAAACCATATCACTTTCTACAGCTACCTGAAAGGAGGTTGTAACAAGGTGAGTGTGACCTCTTCTCCCAGGTGACAGGACAAGAGGAAATGGCCTCGAATTGTGCCAGAGGAGGTTTCGACTGGGTATTAGGAAAGATTTCTTCATAAAACAGCTGAGTTTAGTGATGTATGTGAAAGTTTTTTGGGATACCAATCAGAAAAATGCTGACAACAAAATTTTTCAGAAATACTGTAGTACAAGGCAAGCTAAATAAAGTGGCCACATGATGCCAGCATTGTCTGAGAAATGGGAGAAGACTCTCAATCAAAGTGTGTGAATTAGTTTCTGTTTCATTCTGATTAGGCTGCTTGTTTGTTTTTTTTTCCTTTAGCATGCACACATCCACCTTCCCACTTCTCATTTAGCTGCAACCCTTTATCCAGCTTTCTTACAGCCTTCTTAGTCCACCAATAAAGAACATGAGGCTCCCCTATTCATTCTTCTAGTACAGAGTCTTAGCAAGCCTATGCTTAGCTATATCTTAGCTCCCACCCACTCCACAGCTTGTTTCTCCTTTCCATAATAGGCATGAGCTCAAACTTTCAGCTTTTACATAGAAGGAAATCCCACAGAAGGATGCATTGCCAGCTCATTGCTTGAGTTTGCCTTTAACACAAGTCTGATTGAATGCTCAGTATGTTACTGCAGTCTATTAAAATTCTGATTTGGACTGCAGGAAAGAATACATTTGTTTGTTCCTCCCCACCACTATTTCTCACATCAAAGCTATTTTTGCAAGAACATCCAAATGTATTCTTGTTCCCTTCCATAAGAGCTTACCTTTGTCTGAGATGTACACACATTTCCATAGCTTTCTCTTTAGTGTCAGAAACATTTATTTAGGTTGGAGAAAAACTTTAAGATCATTAAGTCCAAGTATAAACCTAGCACTGCCATGACCACCACTTAACCATGTCACTAAACACCACATCTACACGCCTTTTAAATCTCCAGGGTTGGCAGCTCAACCATTTCCTTAGGAAGCCTGATCACCCTTTCAGTTAAGACATTTTTCCTAATATCAATTCTAACCTCCCCTGGAGCACCTTGAGGCCATTTACTCTTGTCCTATTGCTTATTCCTTGGGAGAAGAGACCAGCCACATCCTCACTCCATCCTCCTTTCAGGTAGTTGTAAGAGAGCAATAAGGTCCTCCCTGAGCCTTCTCTTCTCCAGATTAAACAACCCCATTTCCTTCATAAGACTTGTGCTCCAGGCCCTTCACCAGCTTTGTTGCCCTTGTCTGGACTGACTGCAGCACCTCAATATGTCTCTTGTAGTGAGGGGCCCAGAACTGAACACAGTAATACCCAAGTTTGTCATACCAAGTACCAGCCATCTTGCACAAGGAGAAATATTTCTCTTTGAAAATTTTCAGCAGAGATTACCTGGAGTCATTACTCAGCTGGAACTGCTATACAATCCTGGTTATTTATCTCTCCTTGTACCATGTAAAACATTTTCCATTGTTCACAGCCATGCTGATCTCAAGCCTCACAAGCCTGGCGCAACAGAAGTTAATCCCTGTGACCTCAGCTTCTGAGGAATTGTGTTGAAGTAGATTTCAAATACGCAAATCCCATCACAGCAACAGGAGGGCAAGCATACAGCTATGTATTTTGTCAGTACATGCCCTAGTGCCTTATTAAAATGAACAGTTTCAAAGAGGAAGGTGCAAGATAGAGCTGGCCATCAGTAGTCTCCAACACCCCCCATCTGTTAGCTCATCATGCAAGTGCAAAAGACACCTGTCTTGGTGGAAGAGACAGATCCTGTCTCCTGTCCTGAGCTGTTTCTCATTCAGTGAACCACAAATAATGGTCATGTTTAACACTGACGGCCATAATACCACAATCCACATTTGCTACACTTTGAAAATGCAAACACAACATTGTTTTCCACTTCAATTAAAAACCTCTATTCTTTCTACACAGTGGGATAATCCCACGTTAGTACAACCTGATCTGTATGAATTTAGATAGGACCTTTACATATGGTCAGAGCTCTTTGGGCAGAATCCACTCCGCAAGTTGAGTATACAACAAGGTGTAAGAGCTGGGGTAAGTGACATGAAGCAGGAGAGGGCCAAGACTGAGTACTGCTTATCACTAGGGCCCTTCACCTAGCCATCCCACTGACATTGGCGGGGTATGGCAGCCTAGCTGCTCCTACCTCTGCCAGCAAGACTGGTAAGAGAAGTGATTCCCATGTTCTGACCATCACCCCACAGTCACCAGCTCACAGCAGGGGCTGAAACACAACTCTTGGAGGCCCTGGATGCCAAAGTGCCTAACTACCAGTTGATTTCAGCTTAACCCAGGGTTTTGGGAAGCCTCCTCATTTCTCTCCAGCCCCACCATCTCTTAAAAACAAGCCAGCATGCCTAATTTGCACAGTGCTGCAACAGGCAAGTGCTTTCCTATAGATGGGCTGCATCTGCCCTGGAGGCAGATTCCACATCTCCTGGAGAGTCCCAATATACAATTATGTCAGAGAACCTGGCACCAAAACCAAAGGACTTCCGTGTTCCTTTGCTGCTGCTCATCATTCCTTCATACCAGAGTAACCCATCAGTTCTTCAAACTTTTTTAAGTTAAAAACACAAGTAACACTCAACTTGAAAATGCTAAACACCTTCTGCCCCGGAAGGTGTGAGATGTCAGAGGTGGATGATGTGAAATCATGGCATAGCCAAGAGATGATGGAAGACCATCTGTTTGTTCACAATACAAGAATCCATCACAACTTTATTCACTTCACTACAAATAAAGCATCTCTATTTGATTTACCCAAATATACTTGGTTCAAGATTTAGAGTGTCTGAAGCAACTTAATCTTTTAAGAATAATTTTAAAATCCTGTCAGAAGGAGGATGGGTGTCCAAGCAAGCTAGGTGATCCTGTTACACATAAGAAAACTGAAAAGGAAAATAATTGAAGTGTCTGAAGAGTATTACAATCACTTAGAGCCCACTGACTAGCACTCAGTATGGCAAAGGAAGCTGCCAGATGAGTAGGTAAAGAAAGAGGTTTTGCATCAGATGTTGCATCAGTGTGTAGATTGTAACAAAAGTGTCAGCATCTGCCTTTTATTCAGGCAGTGAAGAAGAGAGCAGCCAGTCTATCTCAATGTGAATGTCTTTGAAAATCCGTATGCTTTTGTCAGGTTAAAAAAGCAAATTTGATTAAAAGTCACAATACAGAAAAAGTCATAACACTTCCATGCTTTTCAGGAACTGAAATTCAGCTTCACCTTACAATTGTTGGTTATTCTGAAAAAAAAAAAAAAACCAAAAAACAGGAATGCAAAGTAATGCAAGAAATTTCCAAATAATTTTTTTTTGTTCATCTTACTAACCTCAGTTGTTGAAGCAGATGTAGCTCTCTACAACTCTTTAATTCACCAATGTACTCCTCGAAAAAGATGACAAATGCAGTATTTCCAGTCTTTACTGGATGCTGGGTAAAACTCTGCAAGCTGAAGAAATTTTGATATTCAGTAGTAAGAAGTTAACTCTTACTTCAAGAGGAGATTGACAATAACAAAAGTTTCAGTTTACGGCTGACTTTTTTCTCATCTACGCAACTTAACTCTTTCAAATATTCGTATCTTGTCTACACGATGACTTCCCACAGCACTGAAATGGATAACACATGAAATGCAATTATTATGGTCCAGATAGCTACATATTGTCATGCTTAAGGTTATGACAAGTATTCGTCATGTATTACACAGGCATTTATCACAAGTGATAAATTTATCACAGTTTTTTCCATATAGCTGTGTGTCAGCTGTCTATTTTGTTCATAAAGCATGACTACATCACCACTGGAAGAGATTTAAGTGTTTCTTACCATATCAAAGTGTCGTGGTTTAAGTCCAGCCGGTAACTCAGAACCATGTAGCCGTTTGCTCACTCTCCCTACTTCTTAATCCCTCTGCTCCCAGAGGGATGGGGAGGAGAATCAAAAGAAAATAGTTCCCACGGGTTGAGAAAAGAACAGTCTGGTAACTAAGGTGTAACACAAAACTACTACTGCTACAACCAATAATAATGATGATGGCTTGACTTCATGAACATAGATTTGGGAAGGGCTTTACCCATGCTTACTTGCAAGTGTGAGTAAACCCTCCAGGCCTGTGCAGTGGATTTTTTAGGTGAGGCACAGCATGCACAGAACTGGTCCCACCCTTTACACCTGAGGTTTATCTGCCAGGGCCTAGCGAGCTTCGATGGTGACAGCAAAGTCCTCAGGCCATAGGTTTGGTTAGAGTATCCTTCTCTTAGATGGATAGCCTTACAAGGCTAAACAAGCTCCATCTGCCCAGGTTTGAAGTTAGAGTTGTCCTTCTCCTAGGATGGCAGTCCAAAGGCTAGTGAGCCCATCCTGCCCATGGACACACTTTGTCTGACCCTTCAGTTGAGACCTGTCTGGCATGGGAGACCGTACCGGAGGCATATGCCACCACCAGCATAGCTCTCAACCTCACAAGGACACACAAGCTCTTTCCCCACAACAAGGGGGTGTCCGTGAAAGAGAACTAATGGTAATAATGATAAGGGAAATAACAAGAGAATAGAATACAACAGCTCACCCCCCACCAACCACTAACGCAGCCCAACCCGAGGAGTGATCTCGCTGGTCGGAGTAACTCCCCCCAGTTTATATCCTGGGCATGACATGCTGTGGTATGGAGTACCCCTTTGGGTAGTTTGGGTCTGCCAGCTTCCCCTCCCCCATGGCAGAGCATGAGACAGAATGTCCTTGAGCAGAGTAATCATTACTTAGCAACAACTAAAAACATCAGTGTTCCCTTGCTGAAAGTCAAAACCACAGCACTGCACCAGCTACTAAGAAGGAGAAAAATGACTGCTACTGCTGAAACTAGGACACATGGTATTGCTTCAGTTTCCTGGTAAAGATGCCTGATGAAATGTAATCTGCCAAAGCAGCTTTGCAGTCTCTAGGTTGCTTTCCTAACTGACTTAGCAAATCTTTGCTACTAAGGCCAGAGGAATGTAGCTATGTCTATTTGGATCCCTTCACAAGTTCATGTCAGCATTTATTTAGCTTACAGGGTGCCAGCAGCTGGGACCATGGTTTTTTTGTACATCACTTAGCACAGTGAAGACCCAGATCAATAGTGCAGAGCAGTAGTAATGCCTAGTAACAAATGCACTTTACCCTGCCCAAAGCTCATCTGCAATGCACTGTGCACCATGTGCAAAACAACAGTGGAGCTTGTTGCACAGCCAGTGGCAGCCCTGTATCAGAGCCAGGAGCTGAGCCTCCTGTCACAGCCAGCCCAGCTCTAAGGGTTGGAGAAATCACAAAAGCAAGGGAGAAGGGAAGTGGGCAACACTGCATTGTTCATGGTTGTTTGAGGTTTAAAGCCTTGACTCATGGAGAGTTCCCTGTGAATGCAGAGAAGACAGTAAAACTGCATGACCATAAGACTATAAAAATCTTTAATGACATGACAAATTCCTGGATTACTTTCAGGAAGTCAGGTTATTGTGGACAACCCCTTGCAAGAATGTTGGGGAGTAGTAACACACTTGCCTCACTGCCTAGAGCTACTTGGTCTCTAGAACTAAAATCAGATAATGTTCTAATCTTGGTTGAGCAAGCTCACACTGATATGTCTTTTTAGGTCCCTCAGCAGCTTCACCTAACGCTGGAGCACTTTCATATTATGCATTAACACGGGGAATGGGTGTTAGGCATGAATGTGTTTACATTGTTACAACAATTAGAGGCAGTACTGATTAGTCCTGCCAGAACCAATTTTTTGACTATCAGCAAATCAAATCAGCTTCACTTGAAAAACAGCTTCAGCTTGACTTGAAAACTCTGAAGCATGACCCAGTTATTTGAGGCTCAGATGGGATTTATTTCTATCATTGACAAGATGTACCACCATCATTTTTGTGGCTGTGCTGACTACTGTGACCATGTAGCCAGAGCTGCTATCCCAAGCACCCCAAAAAGGAGCATAATACCATGGGATCATACTACCACGGTATCATATACACACACACCACTTTCTTATACACCCTCCTACTCACTAGCCAGGCAGCAGGTAAGCTGTCCAGCCTCAGAGACCGAGACAGCCAAGAAGAACTTTGTTCATAAGTCAGTGGCAGTGGAGTAGCCCAGATGATGTAACAAGGATGACACATCAAGCTGTAACCATTTTATATGGACACAAAGCATTCCTCATTTCTAGAAACAGCCCTGTCACTACTTGGTTAGGAGAAGCACAAAGAGACCCCTGAGCCAAGACAACCCCAGTCATCCACATGGCTCATGCCTGGCTTCAATGTGAAAGAAATCCAGCCTCATGCATATGGACCCACACCCCAGCAGAGCCTTTCTGATGCAATAGCAGTGCCTCCAGGGCCAGTACCAACTCACTCAAAGCCAGCCAAGACATCTCAACACATCTGGCCCCATCATGCCTGTAATTAGGCAAGCCTTGTCCTGCATTAGATGTATGACAGTAACTCATGAACTATGACCCCTCTGACAGTATTTAACTGTCAGGAGGCCCTCTAAACCACCATTAGTGAACCTTTTTTTAAAAGGTTAATTGGTGCCTGTTGGAACAGCAAATTCCCAAGAGTTTGCTGCTCCCACTAAGGAGCCAGGAAGCAAGCAGGTATGCAGTACTCTACTGGACATGACCTGGTATTGTGAGCCTGCAGCCCAGAAAGCCAGCTATGTGTTGGGCTGCATCAAAAGGAGCGTGACAAGCAGATCAAGGGAGGTGATTCTTTACTCAGCACTGGTCAGACCCCACCTGGACTGCTGTGCTCAGCTCTGGAGCCCCCAACACAAGAGGGATGTAGACCTGTTGAAGTGAGTTCAGAAGAGGGCCACAAAGGTGATGGGAGGGCTGGAGCACCTCTCTTGTGAAGACAGGCTGAGAGAGTTAAGCTTGTTTAGCCTGGAGAAGAGAAGTCTCTGGGGAGACCTTAGAGTGGCTTCCAGTACTTAAAGGGGGCTTACGAGAAAGCTGACGAGAGACTTTTGATAAGGGCATGTAGTGACAGGACAAGGGGTAATGGCTTTAAACTGAAACGGGAAATTTGGATTAGATATTAAGAAAAAATTTCTTCCCTGTGAGAGTGGTGAGACACTGGTACAGGTTACCCAGAGATACTGTGGATGCCCTGTCCCTGGCAGTGCTCAAGGCCAGGCTGGATGAGACTTGGAGCAAGCTGGTCTAGTGGAGGCGTTCCTGCCCATGGGAAGGGGGTTGGAACTAGATGATTTTTAAGGTCCCTTCCAACCCAAACCATTGTATGATTGTATGACATTCACAGAAGAACCTCTTCCTTTGTGCTGATTCAGAGAAAACTCCAAGAACAAACTCGCCAACTGATAGGTAGAAGGACAGGATGATTGTTATGTTTGCGGTATTAATGAACCCATTAAGCTGGTGTAAACATCTACTGGGGAGTATCCCGGGACTAGCAGATGTGCAGGATGGGAGCAGTTAAACTAACTGTTAAGTAGGACAAGATGATTGCTATGTCTGTAATGTTAATTAAGCTGGTGCTTCAAAGACTGCCGAAGGTATGAAGATTGTTGGGAGAAGTAAACGACCTTTAAAGACCACCATCACATTTTTTGTATGCATGTGGGAAACTTTCTGGAAAATGATGTAATTCATGTGTAGCCTTATATATAAGAATGGCCTGTATAGCGTGTGAGGAGGAGCTATCCCCCGTGTCTCCTGGCCCCGCAGTAAAGAATACCTGCTAGTCAACTTGAAACTCTGTTGGCTAGTGTGTTCCTGGAGTTTTCTCCGAATCAGTGCACAGCAAAGGAGGAATCAGAAGTGCTGAGCTGGTCAGAAAAAAGAAAAAAAGAAAAAGGAAGAAAATGTTGGTCACTCACTGCTTGGTCAAACCTGGATTTTTTTTTTTTTTTCAGTCATAGTGGGAAAGCATGATGTGTGCATCAGCCATACCAGCCACACATGTGTAGTGAACCAGACAGCAAACTCTTCTGAAGACATTCTAGACCTACTCCTTTCACATCCATAAAAAAGCACTTTATCCCAATATATACACTAGCTTCCATGCATGAAATTAGTAAGCCATCAAATATTTTTGAGTTTACTTAGTAAGGACACAAGAAGTCTTGAACTGAACAGAATTTCCCAGTAGGGCGGCCACATTATCTTTTGTAACAGTTGACATCTTTTTAGCCCAGGACCAACTCACCACAAAAAACAGTCTAGAAATTTGTTCTACCAGTACGTGGAGCTCTTCCTACATAACTAAAGGAAGAGCAAGCTCTAGCTGCTGCTTGAACCAAGAGTATAACTCTTTCCTCTTCTGCGAAGAGTGTTTGTTTTACCTCTTCCCTTTGTATTATTTGTTCTGAGAAATATCCATATCTTCATTACAGAAGATTTTTAGCTTTCTTAGGCTAAAACAGATTAAGTAAAAAGCAGTTCTCAGTACCTGTAGTCCATTCTTGCTGGTTTTATTGGCATGAGTTAGTTGACATCAGTCTGCAGAAGCAATGATTTGTGATACTCTCTGCGAGTGGTATATAGCAACTCTCTTTGGTATCTGCAGAGGACTGAATTCTGGCAAGCTTGCACACTCTTCCAAGACCAAGGAGGAATGGGCAATGTGCCTATGCATGCAGTCCTCACAAAGGCTAAACAGATGTTTAAAACCATGGTGTCATTTCAGACACATTCCCCATAAGGTGAAGTGTTGCTTCAAATAATACAGTTAAGCAAAGCAAAGCTCCTTTACCAGTGTGTCAGTGGCATGACTAGCTAATACACCACAGGCCCAGATGAACCCCTCTTCATTATTGACAGCAGTTCATGTCTGCCCCAGCAGAGAGAGGAGCTCTGACAGCATCCCTGAGCACCTCAGTATCTGTCCCTTCTTTCTCCCAGCCCCACTCCAGACTCTGCACAAAGATCACACCCCAGAAAAGAATGGA